GAGTAGGGGAAAGAAAGATTTCAAATCACAAGACAAAAGATCAAAAGGTCCACTTGAGCCAAAATGGTGGCCCAAGTGGATACTTATTAAGAGTCAAGACAAGCGACCACCTACGGTTAACGCTTTAGCCCAAAAAGCGGGACTTGCAAAAGCCCCCTCTTTCGAGGCCACCCACTACAAGTGCGCGCATTCGGCCTCGGTGGCTTCCAGGGAAGGCAGCTTCGACCTCAACGAGAACGGGGAGCTCAAACCAATCCATGAGGACAAACACACCGGAATTTGGATGTAGGGGGTGGACCCAGTTGTTCAGTGATCCGGAAGAGAAAGGACCTTGTTGGTTGGCCAATTTCAGTGGGGAACTCAACAAACCAAAATCTGAAACAAGGGTGCCACCGAAAAACTGGGCGGATGTGTGGGCGGCCCTCGGAACAAGACAAATTGAACAGGCAACATTGTGACATGAATCCATTGCCACGTGGTCAGAATTATGGTGCGTTGCATGGGGCAAACCTTTGCAAGGCTGAGAGGATATCACAAAAAGGATCTAGCAGCTCCACTGTGAACCCTTTGTCCATTCACTTAGCCATGCTTCTCTTCAACAAAAGCCATTGTCCAGGGAAAGTAGCTGATGTTCGAAGACAAGGATGGGCGAATGCAATGGGGAATCAACCCTTTGTAACTCATATTTCCACCTAATACATGAGCTTACTTGCCCCGCGGTGTCCCCATTAAAAAAAAGGTCCTGCCATCCTGCCCACTGTGTTTGGAGGTTGCTTTTCGAGGGACCGTGGATTCTACCAAGGCACGATTCCCTGGCATTTGAAAGTTGTCCTGGGGAAAGTATCAACAACCTAAAGATGTCAGCTTTTGCAAACCGAGACACATCACCTACGAACTTCCCAAAGTCCTGCTTGGAACCAGTTAGGCTTGGCACTTGCCTTGAAAAGGAAGCTTCCGATTTGAAGGAGGATCACACTCAGTGTTGAGTGGAGACACTCTTTCATTTGCTGTATTCCTCATTCAAGTCTGAATCCACTGAAAATCATTGGGAGGCCCAGTGAAGAATCCCTGGTTGAGTCTGCGAAAGCCGAGGGAACCCCTCGCAGATCTCCGTCGCGACGGTGGGGCCCATGACCGAACGGGGGCCCCGTGCCCGGGGCGCATGGTGGGCAAGCGAGGTGAGGCCTCGAGGAACGGCGAGAGGCGAGAGAAATCGGTACAGGAACCATTCAACCGGTGCTGTTTTCAGCTGCCACAGTAAATGCTTCCATTTGCTTAAGTCCCCTAGAAAAAAAACAACATATATGTCCAGTAGTGATAGATTCCCCTTGAAACCAACAGGAAAAACACGAAAAATATGCTTAGGCAAACGGAAGTAAAACAGACGAAAACAATCATGTAAAATAATGGTAAAGTAGACAAAACTACCAATATAGCAAGCAACCCAAACAAAGCAAACATGAGGTATAACAACCTGCTTACTGGCTATAGAGTCAACTGGAAGCACCGGAATTCACTTTATGTCCACTAAACATGTTCGATGGTATTCAGATATGCATGGAACTCCTCAAGGTAATGGTGGCACCTGCGGCGGGAGAAGCCAATACATCAATACCCCGGAACCGATGCCCGGTACGCTTGTCCGTTAGTATCATGCTGACTCTCAGTGAATCAAGAGGAGGCCCTTTAAAGGAAGCCACGCCTGGCTCCAACCAGGGTTCTCGAGAAACAAAAGTCCACATGCTGAAGCGATTTTGAGACACGAAATTCATGCAATTGCTGATACAGCACAGGCAGCAACATAGCAACACACGCACACGCACACGCACACGCGCACACGCACACGCACACTCACGCATCGCACATCGCGCAGACACACAGACACACAGACACAGCGACGTAAACACACAGCCATAGAGACACAGAGACACAGAGACACAGAGACACACAGACACACACAGAGAGACACACAGAGACACACAGAGACACACAGAGACACACAGAGACACACAGAGAGACACAGAGAGACACAGAGAGACACAGAGAGACACAGAGAGACACAGAGAGACACAGAGAGACACAGAGAGACACAGAGAGACACAGAGTGACACAGAGAGACACAGACACACAAACACAAACACACCCAGGCCAACACACCCGCACAGGCACAAGCACAAGCACACGCAGACGCAGACGCAGACGCACACGCACACGAACACACACACACACACACACACACACACACACACACACACACACACACACACACACACACACACACACACACACACACACACACACGCGAACACACACACACACACACACAGACGCACAGACGCACAGACGCACAGACGCACAGACGCACAGACGCACACGTGCACACGCACGAACGCACGAACGCACGAACGCACGAACGCACGAACGCACGCACGCACGCTCTGACACACACACACACACACACTCACACTCTGACACTCTAACACTCGGACTCTCGGACACTCTGACACACGCACACACACACACACTTGCGTTGCAAACTGCAATGTCTTATAGATTCCGAGCATGATGTCCCTTCATGCCACCTCTGTGAAGTTGCCAAGACAGCTTGCAAAGCCTCGGTGCAGCTTTCTTTGTCCCACTGCCCAAGCAGAAGCGAGACATCGCTAAGGATTGCGCTCGTTTAAGCGATGCAATTGTCGCCAGAGATCAGAGTCGAAGGAGCATTCCCGCGAATGCGCCGAGACGAAAGCACAGTAGAGGCAGCCATGGCAACGGGCAAATCTTCCTCTGCTGGGGGCCAACAGAGCAAGCCCACTGGAGGCTAAATATGTGCCGAATTCGGTACCAATAAGGCCTAGAATCATTCGTTGGACCATGCTCGGCAAGTGACTGCCATAACAAAGAGCCAAGCCAAGTGTTGCCAAGAAATCCAAGCTGGCGAAACAAAATCCCCACGCAACATGTATTGCGTGTGTTGCTCTTGCACAATCTACATGTGTTGTCTCTTTTGAGGGCACACTGTTACAGTCCAAAGGGACACCACCCACTCTTTGGGGGTCCCTTCATTCGGAGAACCCATGTGAATGCCCGACTAGATTACAAGAAAACCACAGGGACATATATACATCTAAATATGGATTCAGGAGTTTCAAAAATAGATGCTTCCAATTCGCAAACCTGGTCCGCTGTAGGCCATCAAAAACCGATACTGCCGAAAAACATATTGCTCATTGCTCATGTGAGCTCCGGACAATGTTACTAGTTTTCGCCAAAGGGCAAAGGGCGTGGTCCTTGAGGGTTTGATGTGTACTTTTGGGAGCTCCCCCTCCCTCCAACAGTAGACTTGTCCGTTGCTCTTGTGACGGGGTCCGGCTTCTCCAGATGAACATGCCTGCAACAAAGGAAGGCTGATGAACGTGCAAGCAGCCTTGGAAAAAGAGACGATGCTGGTTTTTTGGGGCCCTCTAACAAAGTTAGAAGGTGTCGCTTTTTCCAAAAGGGGAGGCACTCTTCGTCGGAAAACAGTCAATTTTGCCATCCGCTCCCGATCAATTTAGGGCCCTCAAACAGCCGGGTTTTGGGACCCCACCTTCGGGGTGTCTAACGGAGGGGTCGGGTCTTCCATTGAAAGGTGCAAGGAGCCTCTGGGATGAAGCAAAGGACCTTCATCCTGGGGTTTGGCTCGTGTTGCCACCAGACGATCACGGGGTCCGGCTGGCTCAGAGAGGCGAAAAGGCGACCCACGCGAGCCTGAGGCGCTGGAATCAAGTAGAAGGGATCAAATTGGAATGCTGGGGTCAGGGGTACCATACGAAATCTACCCACAATCGTAGGAGAGTATAGTACTAAATCATGACCCGTAATAAAGCCTTACTCTAGGCTTCTTGACAGATCGCCCCTTCATGGCGCCCTTTGGAGGTCATGATCCTGCAGATTGGTGTGGGAGTGCTCAGTACTTGAATGGTTTCGCACGGGACAGGGCGTCCTTTTCCAGGGTTGCCGCCGCAAAGGGAAAAACGCTTCAGTAAAACACGAGAGGAAATGGTGGCCATCTTTGACCTCGGCTTCCTTTGTTTCCAACGACTTGGAGGAAAGTGGTGCTCACATGCGAATGTGCTGTGGGTCCGAACCTAGCCCGGAGCCGCTCAAAAAAGAATACTCCACAGCCCATCTGCGCACAAACCCGAAGTTGAACCAAATGGCGCGAGAAAAAGACATGTTGGACTTGCCAGCTTTCCCTATGCTTCCAACATTGTAACTTCAAACCAAGACAAACACAGGCACTCCGTAAGGAGGGGCCGTTGCTAAAATTTGGCTTGTTCATTTTCACCACAATAATTTGATTCACCCAAAACACCATCAAAGCGAAGCAATGGTTTTCTGGCTGTCACGAAGCAACATAAGAGAGCTGGAAAACAGCTCGCCCATGTCAATCCAATTCTCGAGTCTCACGTCCTGAGTGGATCGGTCAAAGCAAGAGACCACACTTTTTGTACACCACCTACATTCCGCCCACAAAAATTACTGACGCCTAGAAACTGGATAATATATAAGGGTGACCCTTTAACATCAATAAACACACACACACACACACCCACCACCCACCCACCCACCCACCCACCCACGCACGCACGCACGCACGCACGCACGCACGCACGCACGCACGCACGCACGCACGCACGCACGCACGCACGCACGCACGCACGCACGCACGCACGCACGCACGCACGCACGCACGCACGCACGCACGCACGCACGCACGCACGCACGCACGCACGCACGCACGCACGCACGCACGCACGCACGCACGCACGCAAAGGCACACGCACGCGCACATGCAGACAGTTGAGAGTCGAGAGTGATTCCCTGATTTGTGGGAGAAGTAGCCAAACCTAGTGTGTTTTCCACGTGCTTCCCAAACGAACCATGGCTTATTGCAAAAAACTGACGGAGCCTGTGCCGAGAGAAAAAGAGACTCGCGAGCAGCAAGGCCAAGGCGCTCAAACCACCAGCTCATCTTCCCGTCCGCAGAGCTTCACCCCCGGCTGCTCCTGAATCTCCTGGCAGTACTCAACTTTGGGGTGCACTGCGCGCCAACAATCAGATGTTCAGATTCTGTTTCATGTTTGGTCTACTAAATCTTGGAGACCCTTTTCATGTCAGGTGAGGCTACTGGCGCACGGGGGTCTTAAGTGCTGTCCGAAGAACGATTTGGGGGCATGTTGGGCCTGGTGAGCAACAGGATATCAGTTTTGGGGCGAGCATCGCATCCTGTGCGATATCCAGGAGGAGGGGGCGCTTGCAGCCATATGAGGCTTGTTCGAAACCCTTTGGTGGATCCTTTTCATGCTTGGTATGTAAGGGCTAATATTCCGGGAACCCTGACACGGGCTGATTTCCTCATTCTTGCAAGTCAACTGCCAGCGGCAGCGGTGAATCCGGACCAGGGGGTGCTATGAGGATCCCTCCAAGCACTAAAATGGGAAATGACACCCTCTTTCGGTTGTTCCGATCGAACAAGCATGCAGACACCTCTTGAACAATTGGCCCCCATTTTGGGCAGCCCCCGTCAAATTCGTCGGGGGTCCTGAATTCGGGGGATGCTCATCCTGCCCACTGCACGACCTATGTTGACAGGGGCGACCTGGTTTTTGTTCCGACATCGTCTGTCACACTTTTGAGAAGAAAAAAAACACATCCGCAGAACTGATTGCCATTTTCCCAACCATCTTGAAAACCGCCCTTTCACGGGACACTGGAGCTGGAAGCCTCTAGCTTCTGAAGGTCGGGTTCCCCCCGAGTTGCGCAGGTGGACTTGCAAGAAAGCCTCCTTTTGAACATCACCCAAAAGGCAACTCGAAAAGGCAACAAGGTGATAGTTCAATCACCTGAACAGGTGCATACGGGTGCGGTTCCAAGCTCCTTCTTGGCTTGGCGGCTTGGTCCTTCTTTTTAAACGGGAAGCCAACGGGGAGACCGCGCCTGTCTTTTCGTTGGTTCTCGGCATAAGAGAATGACCCTGCATGTGACCCATCCAACTAATCTAGGGGTTGATTCCCCATTCTTTTCAACCATCGTTATTTGAAAAAACCGGCTGTTTCTTCTGGGTTTTTGATGGTTTCCTGAAAAGAAGGATCCCTGCAAAGAATGGAAATGGAAGGTACCCCTAACACTAATGGTTAGCTTTGAGAACTCCTGGCAAGTTTGGGGGGGTCCGAAGGCCGATGCTTCACAGTCGCTCAAGAAGGTGGACGGTGGACCCTCCTTGAGGTTGATGCTTTAGAAGGGAAACCAAAGGGACACCAACCATTTCATTCCGGGACCCTTACAGAAAACCCATATGGGTCTGCCCTTTGAGAAGCACATGGGTTTGTCTGTTATGATTTCCCCTTTGGCCTCCCTTGAAGACCATCCTAAAAAGGGTCCCAACTCCAAACAAGTAAATATCAATGATATCAATGGCTCTGAATTTGAACAGGGTTCCCGCTGAAGAGTGGTTGTTGGACAAACGTCCCCGCCTAAATGTCCGGAACCCAACCATTCATTGGGACAAATCCGCCACCAAAAGGAAACCAACCGCAAAAATAACATAGTTGGAAGGTTTCCATACAGTATCCTATGTTGAGACAAATCCATATTTCGCCTGGGGTGCTTATAGATATCGCCTTCACGGAGCAGTTGGTCGGTCGAACGTCGCCTGATTGGTGGCGCCGCAGACGCCGGTGCCCATTCTGTGGTCCCTCACTCCGATTTTCGCCGAGGGACGTGGGGGCCATGGCTGGGTCCACCAAAATGTGCAATGGGTGGCTCGTGTTTTGTTGAGTTGGTACCTTCTTTTGGTGGTTCTAGTGGGAAACCAAAAGGAACCCGAAATCCACACCCATATTTTCCCCAGATTGCTGTCGGACAAAACGTGGAGCGACGAAAGTGACAAAGCGCTGCTTGTTGTGCTAGTGGTGGTGTCAGGGATTTCCATGGGAATAAGGCCACCCTTTCTTCGCAGATGATATTAAAGGCAACCCCCCTCCAAGAACGACCACGGAACTTTAGAAAGACGGTGCAAGACAAATCAATCTTATCCCCTTGGGTTGTGGTCGACTGTTCCTGGCTCAACCCTGCTTTCTTGAAACCTTGAGACATACCACTTCCATCCTCAGTCTCCGGTGTCACATAGTCATAAACAAGATGTCTATCACGACCAGTTATGACCAGTTCCCCTTAAAGCCAACAGGGAAGCATACAAATCATGTGCACAAGAAGGATCAAGGAACATCATGCACCAACTCCCGGCTTTGCGTTTGGCTCCCTTCTCCCCTTGGGGTCAGCCCCTCGCTCCGTGATCACCAGTCCGAGTCGACTCCAAGGCTTTCGTTCGCCGAATTCGTTCACCGCATCGGTTCGGCGGCTTTCTGGAGTCCAGCCTTGAGAAGCGATGGACTCCATCGTACATGGGAACAATTCTTGAGGGCAAGGGAAATTCCTCGATTTGGTCGCGAATGAAAGGAAGCTTCGTTGAGGGTGTATCAGTCGCTGCCCAAATAAGCCGAGTGGATTCCCGTGCCTTTGTGCAAAGCAATAAGCAAACAAAGAAAGGAACCCGCAAAGGACCCTCTCCTGGCCCCTGGTCAACTCAAAAGAATTGGGGACTGGGAGGGTGCTTCTTAGAATACCTTTCAGAAGAACAAGCCGTTGACACCATCAAGCGGAACGTCTTTACGTGTCGACCCCTGTCAACTTTGAACACCACCCCAATCAATATTTGCAGCCAAAGGTAATCTTTACACAACCTCTCTCTTCTTTTTTGGCGGGGGATCAATCAACCCTGTTCACCGAACAACATCTTCTTTGCCCCCGCCCCAAACAAATAAGGATCACCAGCAAATCAATGACAAAGCGGGACATCACGTGTCTCCTTGTTGAGTTGGGAAAGCGGACCAACTGACCCATGGGGCGTCTTGACGTGACGAGCCCGCCTCGAAGCGCATGAGATCTGCCTCGCGTTCATGCCGCTGCCCTGGAAGGGGTGGATATTATCTGCGCGGTCGTCGAAGAGCCACACGTTCGAGGGCAGGATGCCGATGCCGCGCATGGACAGCCTAAAGCACTCAGGGGGCCAAATCTGGGTTAATTGTTTTTTTAAGGAAACCATGTTTGTGGGTTGAAAGGGAAACCAATGACAAAACCGAAATCTATGTTGGGGGTCCAAATCCGAAAAGACAAAACCACCCAAACCAGTTGCGATCTTAGAGCTGGGAATCGCCTGGCCGCCTCGTCGCCTCGCCTTTGCGACGCCTAGCACATGTTGCCAGAGGTCTACCTGGCTTTGAGAAACACACCTTTCGTCTATCCAAATTCTGGTCCATATTCAGTCTACCCCAAAAAAATCGGAGAAAACCATGGAGGAGACCCCGTAAAAAATGAGAGAAAACCATGGAGGAGACCCCCACAAATGAGAGAAGACTGTGGAGGAGACCCCCGCCAAATGAGAGACGATCATTGAGGAGTCTCTTCTTGTGGCCTCGTTTTGGAGACCCCGAAAAAGCACCTTTTCGCCCAAGGGGCATGGTGAGGAGAGCCTTGGCCGCCTCCTGCTTGGTGCCATCCAGGCAGCCTGAGACTCGTCATTTTTGGGGGAACCACTCAACCAATGGAAAGAGCCCATGGCATTCAAAAAACAACCTTCGATACTTGGCACGAGATCCAAAATATGATCAGCTTCCCTTTCATAGCCAAAATTTTAAAATATGTGATCACTTGCAAGTACTATTTACATGTATCGTATTTAGTTAACCTCAAAATCGAGGATCATTTTGCAGGGTACACAAGCAAATTGCAGGTGTCTCTTTTGGCTTCAACGGGAAACCACGAAAGAGCCATGCATTTCTGACACCCATCTTTCTGGGTATATGGAAATGGGGTCGTCTCGCAATGGGTGTCTTCCTACAATCGTTGGTAAAAAGAGCTAAGCAATAGGGAACAAAGCTCCTTTAGTTGGCCTTTGGCTGGGTCGAAACCAAAAGGACACCTTGGTCGTTTTGGTGCTTCCCTAAGTGTTGAATCACCTTCAAGGTCACTTTGAAGAGCTAATCAACCCATCAGGGAGTCAAATGTGATCCGGACATGAGAAAGTTGCGCGGTCCGCGTGGTTGTTGTGGGAGATTTGGGCGTCCCTTCCCAAACCGATTGTACACGATCAAGTACCAAGAATATTGCCAGTTGCTCATCTTTGCCCTTGTCAAAACATCATTATACAGGACATGCACCCTGTGAGCCTCAAATGAAAAAAAAACACAAACCCTCAAATCGAGACTCCAGCCTATAGGTTTGTCGGCCATTGCCACCTTCCCTCTTGAACACAACTGGACGGGTCTTCGGGCCCCGTTTGCCGAGTGCTCAAGGCGCATCTTGTTAGGGCCCGTCCCCTGGTGCTTGTGACCCAAGGACTGTAGACTGGACACGTCGACGGACCGTCATATGGGTGCTGCGCCTTGCTTTAAATGGAAACCAAGAGGCCCAATCCCCGTTTTGACACATATCCCTATGTTTGGAATACTTTAGCAAAAACAAACGAGATCCCGGCAAATCGTGGCTTAACTTCACATGTTTGCCTCCATATGTTTAAATAAACACCTAGCATATCTGTCATTTGTCAGCTGCCAGTGGTTGAATAGCCTCCTTGTTTTCACTTATCCCTTTGGTTGTTTGAACTACCTTCTTGCGGGTTGCCTCCACTGAAATCTGCGAATTTTACAACATCGTTCCAGAGCTGATTTGAGGGATCCCCAAGAAAAGGACCTTTCTCATGGCTTTCTCATGGCTTTCGCTCGTTATACCCCCGAAATTGAAAAAAAAACAAGAAAAGAAACCGCAGACCGAACAAGCCCGTGGCCGTCCACCCGGTCGAGTCGAATGGAGTCGAGTCGAGTCGAGTCGAGTCCGCCTGCCACCAGCGTGGACTGGAACACATCCGAGGCCTTGCAGGCGCGCCGCGGCTGCCCCGCGGCGCTGGGGCCGGACCTCGAGGCACAACGAGCTGCGGCTCTCAGGGGATGGTCCAACCGGGGAACGCCCCCCCCCCCAAAAAAAAAAAAGAAAGAGGAAGAACACATGGGGGGGAGGGGCTCGGGTTCCCCAGCAACCTCCAACCACTGCTTTTCCCCTTGTAACCACTATGTCCAACTTGGCAGTCTTTTTAGTGGGTGCCGGCCATCCGCCCCCCAAAGGCAGCTAAACTTTGATGTAAGACGAGGGTTCGCACCCCCTTTCCACCTGAACTGGACAGACCTTTGAGATCGCATGGTCTTACCCCTTCAATAGTGATAGTGCATGCACTGCCATGACTGGAAAGAGGGCAACCTTCTTGTCGAGGGAAACCAACAAAAATGAAGCAAACCCAAAAAAAAGGCATAGCCGGGCAAACCGGTTGCACAAAAGTCTGGGGAGTCATAGGTGGCGTCACCCGCACCACACCCAAAACACGGCGCGGCTGAGCTCCTGGCCATTCCTGCGACAGCAGCTTGCCTGGAAACTGACACATGGAGTCAGGGAGCCATCAGAACTCCCGTGGGCCATGGTGGTTTCCTTAATAAGAAGCCATGCAATGGCCATGGTGTAGCATGAGGGGAGCATATGGCCAAATGTGCGGGCCTTGAGAATTGCTTAATGCAGAAAAACCCAAAAACAAGTTTTAAGTCTGGACAGCTTTAAACCGGAGTTCCTCATTTGCCTGGACTCCCAGTTCTGGGGAAAAGGGCACAACCTTTCTTTGGTTGGTTCATGTTGAAGGGACACCCCAACAAAACGAGGAACAAGGAAGCCCACTCGGTGTGTGGGTATTTCCACTAACCCCTGACCATCGGGACGCCTTGATACCCCTCGCAGGGATAAAAATTGGGTTTCTTCGTGGTTTCCACATAGAAACCCTCCGAACAAAGCAGAACACATGTCTAACCCGCAAATAAAACAAGCACCCTACGTGACAAGAATCAATAAAACAATGATTCCAACTTGTGCCAACAAGCAAAACTTAGCAGATCAAAGAAGGCCCATTTCATTTGCCATTTGCTTCACAACATGTTCTTAAACTTGCTGGTGCTCAGTAGGGAATGCGCCAGGGTTTTGGGAATGAACCGTGTTGGGATTCCCTATGATTCCCTCAAAGGAAACCAGTGGGGCCAGGATTATAGGGGTCATTCCAATTATCATTCCCTGCCGAGGACCAGCAAGTAAATCCTGCAATAAGAATTGCAGCCATTTCATTCCTTTCGGTGAGCCTCGTCCGTGTGACACGGTCAGCTGATTTGGAGCCCCTGGATGGGTGGTGCACCCACAGCACAGCCACATCACCCAACCGAACCGATCGCGCCCCTCCCGCCGGACTCGGGGTCGCGCCTCGCGAGGCCAGACGTTGCACCAAGGCCGCGCGCTCCTGAGCGAAGTGTTTCGCCCGACAGGAAGGGGATGGTCTGAAGTCGGCCTTGAACAAATGCAGTATATTCATTCATATGTGTGCATGTGATATATATATATATATGTGTGTACGGTATATATCTATATACAATGTATATTCACTAACAATAGAAACAAACGACCCAAAAATCAAGTCCCAACGTTTTGTTTTCGGGCCACAACACCACCCGGCAAACAAACCATCTCTGATTTTGCGGTTCAGATTCAAGTCGCAAAGGAAGGGTTCGAACAAAAGGAACCAGAGTCCGAAAAGCCAAAGCCCAACTGACAAAGAAGATACACAGGCTAGTCATGCTAGAGATGCAAGCTGAAATTTGTTGAGAACCCTCGTGTGAAACCGAAACCAAGGATGCGACAAAGGGACACTCCCTTGCAACCCATGGCTTATGGGAACGAAAGGACTTGGCATCCGATTTGCTTTCGCCCGCTTCAGGAGTCACCCGTCCAATGCTGTTTTTTTCGTTGTTTCCCCTACAGCTGTTAGACTCGGTGCCGATTGATAGGCATGGAACCTTTTTGGGTTCCGTGGGGGTCCTGACCTTTAGCTCCCTGGCCCTCCGATTCCGAAAGGACGTGGAGGTTCCGTTTCCCCAGTCATTCCCCCCGGACACTGTGGACTTCGTGCAACTGATGCGGGCCGCCTTTGCCCGACAATGGTCTTCTTTCTTGGATGCCGGCGTCGCCGCTCTCTTGGATGTTTACCCAGCACTCGTGCGACCACAAATTAGGCAAGCTTGATTTGGGGAAGCCAGTCGGTGTGCCCTTAAGGGTGCCCGTCTGGCGCTGTTTGCTCTTGGGGAAGGTGTCGCGCACGCGCCAGAAATGCCAGGACCCGTTGGTACATAAAGGGGCGTAACCTGCAAAACCAAAATGTAAGCCAGGGTACCCAGGGGTCTGCGGTATGGGTACCTGTCCCGTGTCCAAGTAGGGTCGCTTCTCAAGGTGTTAAAGGGTACCTAAAAAGAACTCACCAAAATAAGTGGCTCGTAAGTCTGAGCCCCAGTGTCCCTGAAATTTATCATCAGTTGACTCCTCCAACACCAGACCTCCAGTGACTCCGGTCTGGGGGGTAACAATGCTCTGAAACTTCCTGTGGGTTTCGGACTGACTCCAAAAGATCGGGCATCCTTGCCATGGTTTCAGTGGCGACTTGAAGTGTTTCCAACCCTCACCATTTGAGATACCTACTTTTGGCAAGGTATGATGTCGACCCCTGCCGAAAGGGGGAGATATCTGCATTTAGCAAAAACAGTTATTGAAACATACAACTCTGCAATCAAAAGAGCTGGTAGTTGGAGCAGGGGGCGAGTGTCTTCAACCGAAAATGGAAATGGTCACAGGCACTTCGCCCTAAATAGGGCCCTTTTCGTATAAAGGCCCTCGACCACCCAGAGACCGCATGAAACTCCCTGATTAACCTCGGGTACTGCAAATGAACAGGAGCTATCAAAACAACAAATAACTTGCGCAAATCTCGTCTGGGAAAACGACATGGATCCACCAAGAATGCCAAAACTACCTCTCTCCTGGTTTTCCTCTGAACACATCGACCCCATCCCCTTCCCAACGTCCCAAAGCGTTCGGCTCCTGGCTGTTAGCGCCGCTGGCGTCGCCCGCCGTGACGATGCCCACGTAGCACTGCGTGCAGAAGGTGCCGGCCATCGACTGCCCAACCTCTCGGTTGGTGCACGGCCGGAAGACTTACCGCCAGTGCTGAAGCCCCCGGGAAAAAAGCAACAACAGAAACAGTAATGATAGATTCCCTTCAACAGCAAACAACAACAGTAGTGATAGATTCCCGTTGACAGCAGGGGAAAATAAGGACCCAAAAAACAACAAGCAACTGGAAGGTTGATAAACGTTAAAGGGAACCAACATCTGGCCAAACCCTTCTCCAATGACAAATCTTGACAAGGGCTCTCTGAGTGGGGCACTAGGAAACCAAAACCCATAAGCTGCAATTGGACCCCTTCCATAGAAACCCTCTTCTATCGAGAGGTGCGCAGTGCCCAAAACCCATTGACTCTTGACTGACATGACTATAAAGTTACTATACCCGAACTCAACTCGGTGGTCGAACCACTCACCTGGCCCTTTTGGAATCGGTTTTGGGCGCTCAGAGTCAATGGCAAGGCCTGCGACAGTGTGAGGTCGCCCCCGCTGTAGGCAGTGTCCTTTCGGAGCGACACATCTGACACCCCCCACAAATAACCCGAAGAGGGGGGGGATAAATTCATCTGGGGGATTCAAGGGTCAATGAATCTGGGCCAAGTACTTGAAAACACAAACCGAAAATCATGAATCCCCCATCATGAGCTCGTTTTCCCTCGGTGAGCTCGCTATAATATGTGCAGATTTATCCTGAAGGCCAAAAACGGGTCCAATAACTTGGCTTTGCCAACCTGGGTTGCTCAAAATGAGGCTCTGGATCCTGAGTAATCCGAAGCTGTAGTGGGACACCGCCACAAGAGAACCACTACCATCCGGCAGGATACAAGGATTCGTCTAAAACCAAGCTCAAAGCTCTCCCCTTGAAGTCCAACAGCCGCTTTCTTCGGGTATTGAAAAAAAAGAGAACGGTCACCGCGTCCTCGGCGGCGTTTCTATGATGCAAGATTTCAAGACTCCCTGGAGCATATTTGGGTTCATGACCACACCCAGGAAAAGGAGTTGAATATGTTTTAGAGTACCCCGGCGAATCAAAAGACAAAAGACAAAATGCATGATTGAAAAAAGTAAAAGTACTTTTGAAGAATGATTGATTCAAAAGACAAAATTGTACCCCAGGCGAATCAAAGTTTAAAGCTGAACCCCCCCTTGAAAAGGAAGAAACCGTGAAGTGTTACTTGCCAAAAGTCCCAGTGGCCATGAATGGGTTATACTGCGGTTGTACTGGGGCCAGGGTACATACCCAAAACACCAGCATTCTACATGGCTGGGTATGTTCCATTTGTGGCTCCTGACATTCAAACAGCTTTCTGAACGCTCCCTCTCTCTTTCTTTCTCTTCGAGAGCACAAGCGATGCGCCGATGAAGCCATATGACTATATGACTGGGCGACCGGGGCGCCAATCGCCAGTGTCGAAAAGCCAATGCAAAGGAATCTCACTATTAAAGTCACATTTCTGGATTCTGGCCCATATGTGAAAATGCAAATGATTTTGAAAGGGTCCCCTCAAAAGAGCGTGTCTGCCTGTGTTTAACTTCTATCCTGTGGATGTTTCCTGAGCAAATCAAACAGGTACGTTTCGCACCCAGTGCTGAGCTATCTTCAGCTGGGTTTGCCTCAAAACGATAAACCTGAACAAGGGGCCTGGTTGCCGTTTGGTTCCCTTTGCGACAACCCAAGAAGGGTACCGATCAACAAAAGAGGCCACAGGTCAAGCTCAGCTTTGCCATGATCCAGTCGAAAGAAGTGAATCTGATTCGGCAGCTCGAGTAACCAAAAAGCATCATGGGCAAAGCGCCGTTTACAACCCTTCCTCTATTCATCTAGCCTCAAATTGTCTCCAAAAAAATCGAATACATTGGCAGAATTAGCCGCCGGCACCCAGAAGCGCTTTAGCCTGCTGTGGGACAGCAATCCCATGTCCGCGAGTCCGCGAGCGAGCGAGCCACTGAGTTTGTCCAGAGAGGCCGCTCAGAAAATACAACCAACACATGCAAGGGAGGGCCACTATGCAACGATTTCCAGATCCAGTAATCTTACACTTCGAAGAGATCGTGCACGCAGAAAACCGCAACGGTTCTCTGAGTGTTCCTTTCTTCTGGGGTGGATTCAAACCCGCCATGCCGCCTGCCCAACGAGCCAGTATTTGTGGCAGTGAAAGTCGATCTGGAGAGTGGCTCAAACTTCTGAACTACGTGTTGTGTGGAAACCAAAGGAACACCAACACTATAATCTATGTAGATGTATATATATATATATGTATATATATATATATATATGTACATGCTTGCAAACTGTCGACTTGTTTTGTCATGCTACCGGCAAGAACCTAAGAAGTGCCCACGCCTGTACCAAAATCCAAGCAGGCTTGCAGAACCTTAAATAGCAGAAACTCCAACTTCCATGCGGAGACCAACATTGGTGGATGCAGTCAGAGTTTACCTTTGGCCAAGCGCTGCTTCAAAGTCTCCGGAAGGTATGAACATCCCCCGAAATGCTTGGAGTTGTTTTGGGTTTTACATGCCAACTAACCCAAAAAGGGTGGCTACCCTCACAAGAAGACACTCCCCTGTTTTAGGGATTGCTCATGTTTTGGTGCCAGCCACTGACACCTCTGGCTAATCGAAGAAACCACTGGAAAGGAATCACACGTTCTTCGATTGACTTAGATAAATCTATGGGATCTCCGAAGATGAACCACGCCCGATCACTCCACGTGGGATGTTAAAGGTCACATCATCTGCTATTCCCTTTGCAACAAATGGGCGCATGATTTCCCGCTCGAGCGTGGCACCAAAGGTCAAAACCCTTTAGATGGCCACCAACTGCAATATCTACCCTAGCTTTTGCACCCCAACAAAAACTCATAAGTTAAAATCTGGGCAAAAGAGATCCGTGGTTTGATCCTTTAAGCAAGGGAAAGCTTAGGAGTCCTGACTTAAATGGTGAGCGTGTGTGCACTGAAGACGTGACCTCGAAGCACACCGTCAGCGGATAGAGCCCTCCATGAACCCAAATGCTAACAGCCTTCATGGCTGTTGCACGGGTGCCGAGCAAAAAAAGATTGGAAAATAGATGAGGCCTGTCAACACCTCGATATCAGGTTCAGGTTGGGATCGTCCCCAAGGAACCAGCAGGGGCGTTCTCAATTGCGCGGGAGCAAAGCTCTGGAGAGAGGTTCGTGCGAACCCCGGCCCCTCCCAACTAAGCACAGTTACACGAAACCAAAAAAGGCGAAACGAACAGCAAGCGCATGCCAAGAACAGTGAAGAGGTCAAGAACTAAGCCAAACACGGGGTCCCCCTGGGAAGCTACTTGCCACATGCAAAGTGATCTACCAGCCGGACTGGCGAAGACGATTCACGGCAGCTGAGAAGTTCCAGGCTCCACCGGGACTCATCACTCCGCGAACTGGAAAGCAACACCTGCCGCACAAAAACTTGGAGCCAGCCTCTTGAACCAATCACCTGCAACCAGACGGTTGTGGCTCAAAGTTAAAGCGCCGCCTGGCTACGCAGATGTTTGGGGCCGCAACCAGACCGTGCTTGTGGATACCCCACGCCCGGGATGTGATCATGTTCAATTCATTTGACCGCCCTCCTGAAGGCTGCAAGGGTCTCCGTATCAAGTGGATTTGACTTTCAAATGCTTTTCCTCTGCGGGTTGCTGAAAGCATGCGCTCCCAAAACTGAACCCTGTATCTACCTCAGCTTTTGGCCCAACCAAGTGAGCGAAACAGATGTATGACAGGTTCAAGAGGGATGCCAAACATCCACCTAACCCTCGGCAAACCCATGAGCTGTCATGTAAACGGAAAAAAAAGTCCCACACCAAGTGTGGCACAAGCATATATACATGTACACATATCTGGTACCCCACCAACACAAGAAGGATACCTTTGTTTGCAGGTTTTAGCTGCATGTTCCCCCTCAAAAACTCACTGTGTTTGCAGGTTTTAGCTGCATTACCCCCCTCAAAAAAAAAGAGAAAGAATAGCGTGTCTAGCATTTGGTGCTACTCCCCACTAAAAACCACCAATAAGTAGCATTTATTGGCTTTCATCCTAGTTATTTGGGGATGTTGCACAGCATTCCCCGCATGTCACAAATCAACCAACAAAACAAAAAACAAACAGCAAACATCAAAATCATAAGCTGTCCAGTCATGGTAATGGCAGGATTGCTGTGTTGTTTGGTTTGGTCGGTCTAATGGAAAGGTTGCGCAACAGTCCCCAAATGTTGCGCTACATTTTGGCCAACATCTGGCAACAATAAAAAACAGCCATGGCGGGTTGCAGAAATGTGCTGCTTTATTTTCTTTTTCCGCTGTTTGTTTGGTCCAGTGGCTCTGAGGAAGCATTGGCAACTCCATGAAATGTCGCGCAACACTTTCCATCTGGTGCGCAACATGTGTGAACCAAACTGAGAGCCGTTAAGAAACACTTGGCCGGCATTGCAATAAACTCAAACAGTGGAGAAAAAAAAACTGTCCAGCCATGCTGGGGGTACGATTAGTTTTTCGCTTTCTTTTTTTGGTCTAGTGGCTCTGTGTGGTAATATTGGGCAACTTCCAAACATGTTGTGCAACATTTGCGAACCAAGCGGAAATGGTGCGCAACATGTGCGTTTTTTGTCCAAACACTTTCATTCTGTGGGTGACTTGCAATCAGTCCCAAGAAACTTCTCCGTACAATCTTGGATCTTGGGTCCAGCCCAAACAAACTGTTGAGTCTTCGTGTGCTTTCTTTTCACAGGCCATTCTTGTTCGATCTAGGCGCTGCCCAGCTTGATCTTCATGTTTGAGGGGAAAAGTGACATAAACTGCGCAGGGTGGCTGTGAACGATGATCTGACAAATGCTGAAAGTTCAGCATCCTACTGCGCGTTTTTTGCCAAGGAGCAGATCTATGTCGATGGAACCACTTTCTAGTCACTGGCTTGGCTCAGTTCGTGCTTACCTGACATTATATGGAATTGAACGACAGCAATTAACCTTTTGAATTGGAAGCTGATTTCATGTGATCTCTTCAGTGCACAACACTTTAGTTTGGGTTATCTTCTCATATTTGAAGTTCAAAAAACGATATTGCTATTGACATAGTTCCAAAAAATCGAACTAGGTAAACACCAGAATAATTTAATGAGATTTTTGTCCCAAAGATTTTGCTTGAGAGAGTTGTATTACTATGCGCATGGAACTGTGCATGGCAGGTGGATGAGACTAAAGACTCAAGATGCTAGAAACAGATGTCTGGGGAATCTTGAATCTGGCTTGCCTCAAAGTGGCTTTCAAGTATCGCTTCTCAACACTCAAGATTCTGAAGGACGATTCCTGATGAATCTTGGATATCAAACACTGACAAATGCAATATTGATAGGTTTTGGGAGGGGGGTAGAGTATACTATATATATATATATACAATCTACATCTATGTATGATAGTGACATAATTAGTTCATTCCGTACAATATATGTTGCTATATCTTAAGATATGTATCACTGACCCA